CTGGAACTACTCTGCTGCTTAGTTACAACAAATCTCATAGCCCTCTAAGGCAAGATGTTTTGTTTGTTTGTTTTTGTTTTTTAAACCTCTTTTTCTTGCCATGGATTCCTCTGGCAGTCTAGTGGATTTCTGTGGGACTGCTTCTAAGAACAGTGTTTTAAATGTATAATCATAATGAAGCATATAGAGCTACAAAGAAAGCCAGTGTACTTGTAAAATTTGGAATAAAGTAATAGGTATGTTTTAATATATCAGTCCATCAGTAATCTAATTTAACTGTGATTTCAAAGTATTTGTTAGTATGAATGGTATTTTAAGATCTGTAGCTACTGAAGTGTAGTGGGAAAATAGTCTTGCTTTCTTGTAACAAGAAATACTACTGGTGTTAACTACAGCTTTTTTCTGCTATATTCACAACCAACAGTAATGGTAAATTTCAGTTAGAAATTAGTGAAAGAAAGATAACATTTTTTTTCTCCATTGTGAGTTTGTCACTACCTGATTTTATATTCTAAGGTGATTTAATAATACTAATACAGTAGGACTACATTTTAATTTTAGTTTACTTCTGTTGGAAGCCTGTTACAGGATTTCTTGTAACTTTTTATTAATTTCTTATTTTACCTGAGGTTCATTCAGAATATAATTTTTTTTTCTGGTAGTATGAGGATTGAATCCAGGGCCTTGGTGCATGGTAGGCAAGTGTTCTGCCACTGAGCTACATTGGTCGGCTGGGGAAGTTGAGAAGGACACCAGATTGAACAAGTAAACATTTCTGCCCTTAAGTAACTGGAGAAATGCTTCTTATTTTTTGTTTTTAATAAACCAAGATAGATTTTATTGAAATATGACAAGGGTGTCAGCTCTTCTGAGTTTTGCATTGTTGCTTATACCTTAAAGTCTGGGAAACACCAAGAGAATGCCCCTTTTGGCCTGACCTTGAATCTCTTGGAGCTGTCACTAAAGCTGCTGCCTCACAGATACTGTCCTTGGAGAGTGTTTCAGGTGGGCCCTGGGTAAATCTGCCTTTTGACACATTTGCCAGATGGATCCATATCATCAGGAAAACTGAGAAGCTTAGCAAAAATACCTTAGCATGTATATAGAAGTAAATAGACAGGCTATCAGTGATTACGGTCATGGGAAGGGTCATGCTATTTGTGTCTCATCTCTACCTCCAGGAAGGGAACGGTCTTCACTGTAGCACAGCCCATAACTGCCAGACAGTTTTCTCAGGAAAAGAAATTTGAGTTTTGATTTCATCTGGCCCATAATACAGCAGTGGTGTTCTATGAAGCCAAAGTCTTAATTTACTAACTTCTTGTAAGAATATCCATATAAATATGAAGTTCTTTAATATTTGTAACACCTCGCTTTTAGAAATAAAAATGTGAAAAGGGATTTGTAACAAAAGGGGATAAACTAATTTAATTTTAGTATTGCAAAAAAAGAAAAACAAAGCAAAACAAAACAAAAAAACTCAAACAAACCTCAACTATAAAAGCACAGGATAAAATCCTTTGCATGCATATTCATTCTTCAGGAGCATTTGAATAAATAATTGGTTGAAAATAACTGTCAGGTAGCTGTTGTGATTCCTATTTTTCAGCTGAGGAAATTGAGGCTTAAGGGAGCCAAGGAATGTACTGAGAGCCACAGAGAGTCAGAATTTGACTTCATGTATTTCTTAGTCCTAAGTCTGTATTTGTGGCTGTAGCAGCCAGATCTTTTAAGTCTAAAACATGGTAATGATGTACCATAATGCATCACCAGGTTGTGTGTAATCACTTGCCCCTATCATTTTTCTCATTCTCTGTTCTCGTTCCCTTTTTGTGTCTGTTGCTTCATCCATCCAACTTTGCTCAAGTGACAGACCTGAGAAGTTAATTTTTATTTGTTAAAAAGTTTTATGTCAGCCAGGCACAGTGGTACATGATTGTAATTCGCAGTATTCAGGAGGCTGAGCAGGAAGATTGCAAACTTGAGGCCAGCCTGGGCTACACAATGAGTTGTAGGTTATTCAGGGTTGTAAAACAAAGCCAGCAATAAAAATAAAAGTTTTGTGTCTACTATTTATTTGTAATTGATAATAATAATATTGTGTTTTTTATAGTTACATTAAAACATTTTTGTTTTTGTGAATTTGTGATGATAGTCAATAAAATTATGATTTTATTGATTTAAGTACTAGAAAGATAATTATTCAAATAAAACTAAATCTAATAAAATAATATAACTTCTTATTTAAGATGACCAGAACATGGAGAGGAAGGAGGCAGCAATGGGCAGATATCAATCAACAGGTATTAATTTAGTTTTAACCAGTTGCCTAAAACAACTGTACCCAGAAGGATATTAGTAATATGGTCTATCCAAGTCCTTACAAAGTTGTAGACTCAGGGAGGAGAAAAGGTGTCTTTCCTTCTTGACAAAAATGGAGCTTTCAAGCATGGAAATGAATGTGGTTAGGAAAGGGAAAAGTCCGGTAGGCAAATGGTAGGCCTCATTTCTTCTGTGGCTAAACTTGGTTCACTTAGTCTTTGAGTAGGGGTCTGAAATAAGAAGCCATGCCAACTGTCAGTATATCCCAGAAGTCAGTTGTTATAGAAAGTGTCCTGAGGATGGCAGTCTAAATTGGACTGGTTCCTGACCACTTATGAATCCAGGATCTGTAGTGCTGTACCAACTTTCACCATGCTTTGTAGAAACTGTCAGGTATTTATAAAAAGCGTTGGTTGGTACTTTGGGTAAGAACAGAACGTGTCAGATGGCTGTGAATACAGGCTTAGTCCTTGGGGTTATAGAAGATGATGTTGCTTTCGCCATCTTCTAGAACAGAGAGGCCTTTTGTTGCTTTTCTATAGAAAGCATCTATAGTAACTCATACTTAATGACACTGAAGATTTGGAAGGCTGTCTCTTAAGACCAGCAATTTCCTTCTACTCTCTTCTCTCTCTGTGTTGATGGTCTAAGGGAATTATTTTTCTCAATCCAGTTAGGCACCAGTCATCTCTGATTCAGTTTTTCTTGGCCTGGTTGTTACTTTCTTGGATGAAAATGCCATACATTTAACCTTTTTTCACCTCTTGCCAGCCTCTGTCCAGTCTGGGCTAGAAATTGCTTTGTTTTTTCATCCTTGTGCACTCAAGATAGCTGCCCATTTGTGAACCAGCTGTAGGGTGGGACAGCAGCTGCAGGGTATGGAAACTGAGTGCCAGGCTCTTTGCTGAGGGGAGAATTAGAGCTGCTCCCTGGTGTGGCACTGGAGGATCCATTACAGAGACCCACTGGTCTTTTACTTCAATGGTCCATGCAGCTGGGACACCAGTAATATAAAATTGGACCATGCTCTGATGGCTCTTTATTGAGAGGTTTGAATATAACCAGTGTTAGAACAGCGCCATGCACACCTTGGATCCTTGCTACCCAGAGGCAGACGATGAATGGCACAGTAAAATCCAGGGCAGTCCAAACAGCTCTGCTTTCAAAGCATGTTGTGTTATTACTTTCAGTCTGTTTCACCATTTCAATATATGTTTAAGATAGTAGGTTATTATTATCTCCTGTGCAACAATGAATATTTTGTTTGCTTTAAAATTCTGTTTAACGCGAGAGCACACAAGGGAGGGGTGAGGATAGGTAAGACACCTAAAAAACTAGCTAGCATTTGTTGCCCTTAATGCAGAGAAACTAAAGCAGATACCTTAAAAGCAACTGAGGCCAATAGGAAAAGGGGAACAGGTACTAGAGAAAAGGTTAGATCAAAAAGAATTAACCTAGAAGGTAACACCCACGCACAGGAAATCAATGTGAGTCAATGCCCTGTATAGCTATCCTTATCTCAACCAGCAAAACCCCTTGTTCCTTCCTATTAATGCTTATACTGTCTCTACAACAAAATTAGAGATAAGGGGAAAATAGTTTCTGCTGGGTATTGAGGGGGGGGGAGCGGGAGGGGGTGGAGTGGGTGGTAAGGGAGGGGGTGGGGGCAGGGGGGAGAAATGAACCAAGCCTTGTATGCACATATGAATAATAAAAGAAAAAAAAAAAAAATAAAATTCTGTTTAAGCACAGTTGTTACAATACATTGTTTGGAATACTTAGAATGAATCAAACTTATTTATTATAAAATCAATTATTTACATCAGTTTATTTTATCTTACAAATGTACTTGTTCTTGTATATTAGTAAGGTGAATGAACTTTAATGTCCTGAATAAGGTGAATAAAATAAACAAAAACATGTAATTTTTTGTGGGACTCTTATTTACAGTCTGAAAGACTAAATGTCCTCAGGTGGTTTGAACCTGAGGCTTCATGTTGGGTTTGTTTTGGGACTTTATGATATGGTGGTTTCCTAACACTTTTTTCCTGTTAGCTTTCTCAGAGCAGAAATGAAGGACACATGAAAGTGAGTTTCTTATTTGACTTCCAACTTCAAATGAAACTTAAAAGAAGGACTTTTTGTTGTTGTTTGCTTTTTGTTTGTTTTTGAGACCCTGTCTTCAACTCTGGAGTACTGGTATTGCAGGCATGTGCCATCATGCCCAGCAAAAAGGATGTTCTATTTAAGACAGGAAGGACAATATTGTCTTCAGTCTGGCAGTTTTTCTTTTTAGCATGGTGCAGTTATAGGAGCCAAGAGGCTAAAGAAAGAGGAAGAGCTGGCTTTCAGTTGAGGTGGTTGTGTTTGAGTGGGGCAATGTACAATGCTTCAGTGTCTCAACATTTGGATTAGTGTTTGATTATCATATCCAAGAGAATGAGACATATGGAACTAAAAAGTATGTAATTATTTTATTACAAACGTGTGTGCGCGCACACACCCCCCCCCCCCCAAAAAAAAACTGACAGCCCAGTAAATTGCTAATAAGTAAAAGTTGCTTTGAATTGGACTTTATTAAAACATGTTTACACTTAAGTGGTGAACTGTAAACACTTCTATTTTGATTTCTGGGATATTCCTTATGGTAATTAACCTTTTTTTCCCCCTGCCTGCAGAACTGGCTAGATCCCACAAAAGAAATAAAGAGACAACTTCGAAGTGAGTATTTAAATAATCTTTTTTAAAATTATTAATTGTTACATCTGTTATTTCCATCTTTCATAAAATATATAGGTTGACTTTATGAGTAGAATAGTGATATATTGAGCTTAAATTCTCTAAAAGTACATGTGTGTGCACAGTAGCATCCAATGAAGATCTGTTGACTTTTGAGTGAGAGAAAAGGTAGTATGCTAATGATGACAGAAGGACAAAAAAGCACATTGAACAAGAGCATGAGAGTCAAGAATTTTCAAGTCCACAAATGAAAGATCCTGTGAAGTCTTCAAATGTGTGTAGAACTGGATAACTTATACACACAACCTTTTATATATGGTTAAAAATGTTATTAGCAAAATTCAGACTAGTGGTATCTGTTATCTACCCACACACACACACTTTTTTTTCTTCTAAGCCAACAAAAACATGACAAAAGCAAAATATTAATGTTAATGTATAAATAAAAGTGTTATATAGTTCATGACATGGTTGGTTGACAGTCATTCTTCATGGCTGACAAATACAGCAAAGTATGTGTTATATACAAGTATATCTACACCTACTCTATGAAATTTGGGAAACAATTTTATCATCTTAAACTACTTATAAGTTTTACTGTACATCCCCTTCATTAGGATCTTTTGAAATACTTCCTTCACATAGCTCATTAATAATCATCTGAATAACTATTGTGATCACTTGATCATTACTCCCCTTCCCCCAACAATGTGGGAAATTTTTTTGTTTTGTTTTTGATGGTGTTGAGGATCATACCAGGTCCTTGCACATACTAGGCGAGTGTTATACCACTGAGCTATATATATCCCGGTGCTTCTAGACCTTGAACTCAAGATACTCCTGCCTCACTTTTTGAGTGCTGGGATTATAGGTGTGTATCACCATGTCTTGTTTTAACTTTTTTTTAAAGGTTGGAGAGTATTTAGGAACTGGAGAGCCTGTGGGTAAAGCAAATCTTATCTCATTACCATTACATGGAGGGTATATTAAATTTTTTGTGCAATATATCACCATAAAAAGTATGTGCCAGTAAATATTTATTAAATAGTGACCCTATTACTATTTATTTATTTGGAGTATATATTAAATTTTTTGTGCAATATGTCACCATACAAAGTATGTGCCAGTAAATATTTATTAAAAAGTGACCCTATTACTACTTGTTTATTTGAGACCAGGTCTCATTGTGTATCCCCAACTTGTCTTGAACTTGCTTTGTAGCCCAAGCTTACCTCAAACTCAGTTCCTCCTGCCTTGGCCTATGTTATTTTCGATTTTATTTTTCGTTTCATTTTGTTTTATAAATGATATTAATGATATTAATAAGAAAATTCTGCAAACTGACTGATGGTGGAATAAATCTGTACTGTATCAAAATAGTCATTTTGTAGTTTGGATAAATAACCATGATGTTACATAATTACAGATCTTCCTTGGCTGTTCACTTTTAATGTGAAGTTTTATCCTCCTGATCCTTCTCAACTGACTGAAGATATCACCAGGTACTGCTTTTTGCTTTTAAAAGTGAATATTTCCTTAACTCTTTATTTCTGTGCCCTAGGAGCATGGATTGAATTTTAAATCAATGTTTTTGTAAGTTTTCTCCCATCCAAGTACTAACCAGGCCTGATCCTGCTTAGCTACTGAAATCAGATGAGTTCGGGTGCATTCATGGTGGTATTGCTGTAGACTATGTTTTCCTAGAAATGAATTCCTTCCCCAGATAGTTTGAAATGTTGTCAGTTTGAGAAATTTTACTTTTTCTTAGTTCTTCTCATTATATTTGAGTAATAAAATATTTTTTAAATGATATTGTTGGCAACTTCATTATATTTTTTAACTTTCTATTGAGCAGTACTAGGATTTGAACTCAGGGCTTCATGCTTGCTAGGCAGGGTTTCTATTGCTTGAGCCACACTTCCAGCCCATCTTTGTTATATTTTTAAAAGACACTGATGTTTAGTATTTCAGATTTTAATTCTAAGATGGTTATTATTATTATAACCCAAGTGTGCTGTGTACTAGCCTCATACAGATGATGTACATTTGTATTTACTCTTACATTTAGTACATAATGAAATTATTTTTAAAAGCCAATTGAGCTTGTAATTTTTTTCTCATTTTTATCCCTTTCCCCCATAGATAAGACAACCTATAAAACTAACTGAGTAGAATTTCTTATGTAGAGCCAGTGGCTGATTCATTTTCATTTCCTCTGATGTTATGTGGGTTATGGGAACATATGCTTAAGTTGCAAATACAAAATTCAGTTCAGGAGCAGCATTTGCTGATCATGAGTGTGACTGAAGCTTTGAGTGGTAGCCAAGGAACTCTGTGAATTAGCAAGTGCCTTGACTTCTTAGCCCTGTAGACTGGGTGAATGATAGGATTCCCTAGCTTTGTTAAAAGTACAAATGGTGATTCTTAAATATTTTTCAAAGGTTATTCACACTGCCAAGGAAGGCTGTGTATAGTGTGTGTACTGTTAGAAAACAAGAAGGTCTGTACTTGTTTCTGGTTCCTGTGCCTGTGATGGCTTTCTGCTATGTCAGTTTGTTCATTGAGTTGTACACTTACTTAAAAAGTATATAATATCCATGAGAGTTAGGAATGTTAGAGATTTCTTTCTGAGGTTGAAAAAATAGGAACCTTTTGTTTGTTCTTCCTTTACTACTAAAGGAATGTGCTAAGTAGGAATGTGCTCCTGTACTAATTGATTACTACTAATACTCGAATTATGCTATGGTTGAATTAGCTTCAGCTAGTAAATAATAAGTGATAGCTTTTGAAACAGCATAGTGAGCTGTGTAGAGAAAAAACCCTGACAGGTTGGCATGTGGAGAACATAGAGCTTTACTGCAAGAGTGTCTTTGAACAGTGCATGCAAGGGGGATTTGTGACCCAGTGTCCTTTCTGTATATACACTCCTCCTGGCAGTAATTTGTTTAGGAGATGATAATACTGTGGTGATTGCAACTTTATGGTGTCTGTAAGTGCTTTGGTTTTCCATATAAGTAGGGCTTGAGCAGGCTTCCTCTGTTGTGGGAGGACTGATAGTCTGCTTTGGTGCTTAAAGCCTCAGTAGTGCAGGTATACCAGCCACCTGCTTGTATTTGGGACCTGGCAGCCCAACTGCCATGATTTAAATTTGCATTGTGACTTGAGTGAACATTTAGAAGGTGGGGTAGACTTAAGAAGAGGCCAAGAACATCATTCAGAACGAAGTCTGAAGAATGCTTTCTCATGCTGTGTGAAGAAAATGGAGCTGGGAAACTCAGGAAGCTCTTGCCAGTTTTTGTTTGAAGTTCTTAGGACTTAGGCTTTGAAAACAGAAAGAAACCAATGTGAGAAGTAGAGAAAATAATGTAAAAAGAAGCAACAGGGTGGAAACTTTGCATTCAGGTTTTCAAAGTGTCATAAAATGTAAAGAACTTGTACTGTTATTGGTCAGAGAATTTGAGGATAACCTGGACTCAATTTAAAATTTGTTTTTCTAAAGTAAGTATACTTGTGTTCATGTTGTTCTAGGGGGTCAAGGAGATATAATCTTCCTTAAAAACAGCTCCTGCAATGCATGAAAATACCTGGACTGTGGGAAGATTTTTATTCTCTTCAGAAAATTATTTACAAAGTATGGCCAAGTACTTTACTAACTGTAGGACTATGAAGAGTCCCTGCCCTGTCTGATGATAGATTGGATGGTAATTCAGGTGTAAATGAACTGAACTAGCCAGGTGATGAGAGATTTGCTTGCTTTCTGATTCATCACTAGTGAGGCTTGGACTAGAGGCTGGAACTCACTTGAGTGTGGAGGGTAGAGAGCAAGAAGAGGATTGGGTCCTAAAAACCCAAGCCAGGCAAAAATGTCCACAGGAAGAAGATGGCCTGTTATCAGTAGGAATAACAGTCTCCCAAAAACTCTCCAAGAATGAGGATGCTGCCATTTATTTCAGAGGGGTCAAAGGTGACTTTAGCCAGGGATGAAATTCAAGAATAGAAGTCAGGTGTTTTTAAATATCACCAAAAGGAGTTAATAGTGGGGCTGAAAAAAAAATACAAATTACATGTTTTTGTATGTTAATTTGGTGCAAAGCAAAATTTTTTTTATAATGGTGTAGTTAAACACTTGGATCATTGACTACGTTACTATATAGTTACTATGTTTTACTGTAGTTACCAGGTATTGATTCCCAGGCACTGGGAATAGTGTCTAACTTTTACCTTTAGATTCAAAGGAGGGTAGTTCTTCCCATTTTTATAGGCAGCAAATTAGTTTCAGGCAAGTCATCTAACTCCCCTTCTCCCCTTCCTGAGGATTGAATTCAGGGCCTTGTGCTTGCTAGGCAAGCACTCTACCACTTGAGCCAAACCTCCAGTCCTTTTGCTTTTAGTTTAGTTTTCAGGCAAGGCCTTATGCTTTTGGCCAGGTTGACCTTAGAATGCGATCCTTCTGCTCCACCTACCAAGTAGCTGATTACAGGTGTTCGCCACCATACCTGTTCAAGAAAACTCTCTCTAAGTTACATAAAGTCAGCTTTTCCTGACTTCTAAACTGCATACTTTTTCTACTAATAGGGCTAACTGCCTCTTTATATTAAAGTCAGTGTACAGCTAAGGGCTTCAAAGTAGATTTAGTTATAATTGTCGTTAAAAGAATTTCAGAAAAAGAAGAAATTAGTATGAACAAGGTAGAGATGGATGGGGCACTAGTGGTTCATGCCACGTCTGTAATCCTAGCTACTTGGGAGGATCATAGTTTGAGGCCAGCCTGGGCAAACAGTTTGTGAGACACCCCCCCCCCATCTCTAAAATAACCAGAGGAAAATAAACTGGAGGTGTGGCTCAAGTGGTAGAGCACCTGCTTTTAGAACCCTTGAGTTCAAATCTCAGTTCTTCCACCTGCCCCCTCCCCAAAAAAAAGCAGAGATGATCAAAGTGGACGAATTGAGCTTTTTTTTTAAACAAATGATGAAGACTTGTGTTTTTTTATATTTCATAATCTTTATAACTTTTGAGAGGTGTGCTAATTTTTATTATAATTTTAAATTCAAGGAGACAGTTTAAATGGCTGAAATTTTTATTTCACTCACAAAACTACAGCAACAGTAATCATAAGCTAAGTATTACCAAAAGTTAAGTTTAGAAATTCCATTTTCTTAATTAGCCTTCTGTACTTAGTTTCAACTATAAATAAAACTACAAGCTTAGGATTCCAAAGAGCAAGGTGAGGCTTCTTATAAGGAATTGTTTTTTTATGGATATGAAGAGTGCCAGTAATGTATATTTATTTTCAAAGGAATATTAGAATTTAAGGAATTATGAGTGCTATGGTGTTAAATTTGTTCTCCTCCACTCTTTTCTCTGCTCTTTACAGATACTTCTTGTGCCTTCAGCTCCGGCAGGACATCACCTCTGGCCGCCTGCCCTGCTCCTTTGTTACTCATGCCCTGTTGGGATCCTACACACTACAGGCTGAACTTGGAGACTATGACCCAGAAGAGCAAGGCAGTATTGACCTCAGTGATTTCCAGTTTGCTCCCAACCAGACTAAGGAGCTGGAGGAGAAAGTGGCAGAACTGCATAAAACCCACAGGTCTGTTGACCTCTTGGTTGCTGGAGAAAGATTGGCCTTGACAGATTTAAATAGTTTGTTTTAAATAATTTACTCAACTTTGGAGCAGTTTAGGGGGTATTATCCAGTTTTACCTTTTGTAGCTTCACTTGGGACTGATCAGGACAGCAAATAACCCTTGAGATGTCCTTTGTTTTTATGACTGTAATATGAGGAGTTCTGTTCTTGAAGCCAAATGCCTTCATTTGTTGGAAAAAAAGTACTTTTCTATACAACATTTCCTTCTCCCTACCCGCAGTGCCATTCCTTAACACATACACAAGAAATAAACATACCCACGTGCTTGTTTGTCATTTATTTTACACTTCTTTTGCCTTTAAATGTTTTTTATTACTATATTTGATAAGAAAGCCAGGGAGGTAATGTTGCTCCAGATTTGAATTAGAAATGTGAGTGGTGAAGATGTAGGAGTAGTGACTAAAATGTTCAGGTGGTTCTATATTCCACAGAAGATGCTCTTTTGGTTTAGATAAAGATTACTTAAATTACTTCATTACCATGCACCCTTTGATTACTTTTATATATGTGTGAACCACCAGCACCTGGCCACTTTAAAATTTTAATTTGAAATGTCAGGTGCCAAAATGCCATGGGGAATATATCGACACTAATGGGACATAATCCTGTCTTCTAAAAGCTTAAAAATTGTTTAGTTGGGGAATAGATGGGAATGGGAATAATTATGTGTGGGAAGAATATAATGTGTTGTTTACCATAGGTATAAAAATCAAATACAAGTAATCCTGATCTTCATTATGATCAGTCCTAACAAAATAAAATTAACGTGTAAGAATTTGTTTTAGATGGATGAAAACACTGGCTTTTTATTTTCAGTTAATTTACCTTATACTCATTATTGCTGGAGCTTTTCTCCCTAGTGGAAATTATCAAAAGCAGCATTTTAAGATAGATGAGTATAAGGTAGAGGTCTAGTTCCTTGAAAAGAGCAAGTTAAGATTAGAGGATCTTAAGATCCTCTTTTCACCTTTTAAGGTGAGTCTTCTAACCTATTTTCTGCTTTCCTGCAAACTTAGCTGTGTTAGTCCAAGCTCACATGCTCCTTCCCCATTGTGAGCGCATTTGCTTTACGTCTACAGTGAGGTAATACTGTTTCTTTTGGTTCTTAGGGGCTTATCTCCAGCACAAGCTGATTCTCAATTCTTAGAAAATGCAAAACGGCTTTCCATGTATGGTGTTGACCTTCATCATGCCAAGGTAAATGCAATAAGAATTACATCATTCCAGTCTATTGACTGAAATTTGGAGAATGCTCCAGTTTCAGAAGAGCTGTTCACTTTGGAAACAGTCAATTTGTCATCACTCAAACATCTTTGAAAAAGTTTTTTAATTATGATGTTCATGGTTGTAGGGAGGAATCATTTATTCTTCCCTCTAGTTTTTCCTTCTTTATCTAGTCTTTTTAATCAATAACCTTTTGTAGGTTCTTTTAAGACTCAACTGTCAGCCTGTTTTATTCTTTATCTTCTTATCCTGGATCATTCTGTGTCCCAGCTTCTGCTAGGTCAAGTGTTGCCTCTGTGCCAGCTCCCTTTCCCACCTCTGTTTTAGAAAAACAGAGCAGATCTTAGCAAGCACAAAAGGGCACAAATTGGCACAAATATGACTTAACCCCTAGCTTCTAGCTTCTGGGTTGAGAAGGAGCCCTGGACCCAGGATTTTCTCTGTAGGTATGGTTTGTTCTTTGTGAGAGGTAGTCTGGCCCAGACTCCAGGTGATAAAGCACCTCAGTCTAATTTGAGTATAAAGAACAGGTTAATGAACACATATACTAGATGATGGTGGGGTTGGTTTGGGAGGATGCCAGTAACCCAGCATCCCTACTTCCCAATCCTAAGCTTATATGATCACAGAGTGGGTGAGAGTTGAAGAGAAAAAAGAGGCCAGGTGAAAGATTTGGTTTTGCAAAGTACTTCCATAGTCAACATACTGAAAAAACCTACCAACCCTGCCAATCCCCAAACAGAGTTTAGGAAGCTCAGATTATATGATTTGAGAAGGCTCCAGGAAAGCTTTCTAGTAAAAGATACCTTCCCTTTCTAGACTTCAGATTAATTATTCTTTCTTTTGTCTTATTAATCACATTTCATATTTACAAAGTACTCTTTTTTCCTTAGTGGCTTCCTGTATTTAAAAAGTATTTTTCCTATTACAAAATAATATGCATCATAGAAAATAGAAGCAAAAGGAAGAAAATAAAAGTTATTTGTGCAGAGATAGTTAATTTTTTGATACATTTTCTTGCATTCCTTTTAAAAACTCAGAGCAGTTGAATTCTCATGCCTCTTTAAAATGAGGTCATATTACTAGTTACTGTTTTTGTTATTTTTTGCTTGCAATTTTACTTGCAATTGTAAATTCACATGAGCAGTAACTAATCTATGATAATGTCATTTTTAAGTGCTAGATGCTATATGACTTTAATTTTTAAAAATATTTTCCCACATACCATCTTATTTAAAATTTGAATGTTTGTAACTACACAAAAAAGCGTGCATAATGTCACATATTGTTAAGCAATCCTCTCTACCTGATAGCAATTGATAAATCCTACTAGGAGTTACAATCTTCCTAACCCTTGAGTGTTTTTTTTTCCTTCTTAGCTCATTTCTACATGAGAGCAGACTAGGTTAACCAAGAAACAAGAATAAGAGAGAGAGGAAGAACAGGTCTGGAAGCAAAGAGGCCCCACACCTAGCTTGTCTCTGTTCTTTAAACCCTGTTATCTTACACATGTAATTCTTTTTTGGGGGAGTGCAGAGAAGTTGCTGAGAATTGAACCCAGGACTTCATGCATGCTAAGCAAGCAAGCACTCTACCACTGAGCTGTACCTCAAGTTCTAGTTACTTGTTATTTGATGTTGGTTTTTGCTCTGTAGTTGGGAACAGAATACTAAAAAGTTTCAAAGAACCACTTACTCATTTATTCTATTTCCAGTTAGACTGATTTGATAAGAAAGATATTTCTGACTTACAGGACAAAAAAATATGTAACAATTCAAAAGAACTTTTCATGTAGTTTAAAGTTTTGTTGGGGGTTTTGTTTGTGTGTGATTTTTTTTGAGACAGGGTCTCCCTAGCTTTGAACTCACATTCCTCCTGTCTTTGCCTCCTGAGTGCTGGGAATATAGGTGTGCATTAACCATGCTCAGCTAGTTTTGTGCTTTCAGAAAGTGAAAACATATTTCATTGCCTTGAAATCGATTTTTTTTTCTTTTTTATTGGAAGAGATTTTTCTTTTGTGTATGTGTGTGTTTTGCTGGGGATTGAACCCAGAGCGTTGCACATGCTAGGCTGTGCTCTACTGCTGAGCTGTTATATCCCTAGCTTTGTTTTTTAAAATAGCATCTCTGTGTATAGCCCAGGCTGGCTTTGAACGTGTGGTCCTCCTACTGCCTTCTGAGTGCTGGGATTACAGGCATGAGCTACTTGAAGAGTTCTTAATGGCATGTTCAAGTTAGAATAAGTTGTAAGAGTGTTACCAATAGAAGAATTTTTGACAAAGGGTCATGGAAGCCACAAAAGTAGTAGAATTCCCCCGGCAGGTGTCAGTGGCCCTCTTCTTAAGCAAAAAAGGGTGTCTTAGTAGGTGCAAGGGCAGAGAGTGGTAGCCAGAATGTAGATGGAGAGAGTCTTTAGAGGAGCCATTGTCAGAAGGGCACAGCCAGCCTGATGTGGCCACATAGGGAGAGAATCTGGGTATGAAATACCTTGACTTGCCTTCCCTTCTTTTCCTTGATCTCATATAAGAATTCTACCCGTGTAAACCTGCTCAGAAACAGTGGGTCTGGCTTCCTATTGGCATCCACACTGACAGTGTTTTGAAGGGACAGGGAACAAGACAATGAGGGGTGGGGTGTTGCTGCTCTGACACTTGCTAAATGTCAGATTGCAGACATGGAAGATACAGGGATGGTTTTTTTCCCCATTGACTTCATACCCTTTATCTGTAATTTCTGTTCCCACAAATACTGATGATTCTAAAGTAATTATGTGCAACAACCATGAATCACCCAGTTTACTTGTGTGTAGGTGGTGTTTATTTTGAAGTCAGATAAAATAGTTTCCTTGTCTTGTCTAAAGATTGCTTCAGACTAGAGATGGCTTTGTTCTGTGTTTCAAATGAGGGTTTCCTTCCCAGTTATGGTGAGAACGTGTTGGCTCAGGCCATCTCCCTCCTTCTGCCTCTGGCCATGGGCAGTGATACCTCAGGAAAACACACCCTTTGGGTGTAGTGTCAGGTTGCTTGGGCACCTTGCTTGATGCACCCAGCCTTTCCCACTATTCCTAGAGAGAGCTGTGAATGTCCAGATGCAGATGAGTAAAGCTTTTTATAGGTCAGATTTTTAAAACCTGTTCACATTGGTCTAAGATAATTTTGTGTACTTACATATGAATTATTCAAGTATCACAGCAGAGAATGAAATTGTTATCAGTTGCTTAGTGCTGTACTTTTAGTTTTTAAAACTAATACAAATTGTATTAAATTGTTCTTAGGAAAGAAAAATGCTGTGTTATTAAATTGGGACTTAGACTAGATATGGTGTTAGCTCTGGCCATTTTTTTTGTGTGTGAGAATTTGTTCCACATTGTTATGATTTTTGAAAATGTGAATATCTCTTCAATTTTATACATTGTGAATGAGGTTGTTCTCCCTTTAAAGAAAAATAATTATTTTTTGTGTTTTGAAATATTATGCATCTTAAATCTTCAGCACTACTTTAAATATGAGGAGACAATTTTTCCACTTTTGTCTGTAAATTTATTTGACTTAAAAAATCTTTCAGGCTTGTGATTATTTTATACTGTCATCTATTCTAAATTAAATCTCTGGGGAAAGAAAACTATAAATAACCTCAAAAGTTGTCTCAGTCCTTTGCAATATGCCAGCCCAAGAAATGTTTAATGAGAACCTGATGTCAGCACTCCCTAAGTTACTTAAAAATTGCTTGAAAGAATTCAGAGATTTCAACACTTATCATCGTAGAAGAGAAGTTTTCTGTGAGGGATTGGTATTTTGCAAAGTATAGGTATAATTTTAATATGTCAGCCAGCATAATCCATCTGAGATAAGCTTGCTAAAGGTAAAATGTCTGAAGACACTTAGGTATGCCAACAGACTGTCCCTGTGGGCTGAATGGCCTCTAGGAAAACATTTTATCTTCCATATCTTCAAGATATCTAAATCTAGTTCTGTTTCCTTTCTTCCCTATTAGCTCTTCAGAGCTTGAAAATAATTGAATTGTACTTTTTGAAGAATACCGTGTCCTATAGTTATAGTGCCATAATTTTTTGCCAAATGAAGCTTGATCTCTGAAGATAACATATTTGAGATATACATGTGTCCTATTATTGGCATTAACTTGTGTATTGTCACTAACATTTAAATACAAACATGTTAAATTGGCATTCCCAATCATTGTAGGGGGTAATTAACCCCCTGTCTATATAACTGTCCTAGTTCTAACTGTGGTTAAATGGGTTATGCTTGGCAGGACTCAGAAGGTGTGGACATCAAGCTGGGCGTGTGTGCTAATGGACTCCTTATTTACAAAGACAGACTGAGAATCAATCGTTTTGCTTGGCCGAAAATCCTGAAAATTTCCTATAAGCGCAGTAACTTCTACATTAAAGTTAGGCCAGCAGAGGTAAGCAATGTCCTGTACTGATTAGATGGCTACAATGCTTTCCTTTTAGTGCATTCATTTCTATTTTAAGAGAAGGAATTATTCTTTATTGTTCTATGGTATAAAGGTCATGGTTGCTGAATGGAAAAAGCTGTATATGCATATTCCTATTATACAACCACTACATTTTGTACAGAATAAAAAAAGTAACATATGCCTGGCACATAGTGGGAGCTTCTTTTTTTGTTGGTGGCAGAAATCAATAGAAAGGTGATAAATTCATTTTAGTGAACAGTGAGAATAGTCCATTTATGTGAGTAGTTTATACTTGCTTTTCATAGAAAATAGATTTATAGTCTGAAAAAATTCATTTTGCATGATTATATTAGACACATTAATACTTACTTTTCTGAAGAATTAATTTGCGGAAACAACTGAGTCCGTGTTCATCAGTAGCTTCTAGTCAGTGCTTAAGGAACTATGCTGATTTGCTTTATGGATTTATTCCAGCTGGAACAGTTTGAGAGCACCATTGGATTCAAACTGCCAAATCATCGGGCTGCTAAAAGGCTGTGGAAGGTGTGCGTGGAACATCATACTTTCTACAGGTAACTTTAAGAAATGCTGTTGGTGCCCTCTACGGATTGCGGTGGTAGTGGCTGCTATGGAAAGTACATTGATCCCCTGCCTTAGGGTTCTTATTCTCTTTAGGGTAACTTGGCTGTCACATGTAGTCCAGTTCTATGTCCTGTTCTGTAGTTTGAGCCTGGGCTGTGATCTGCTTCTGCATTGCCCAGTCTCTGTTTTCTGACTGTCACCACCTTTCTTTCTACCACCACCATACTGCCCCAACCTGCTGCCATCCATTCCCACATCACTCATCTTGGGTGTGATGTAGCTGTTCTTATCAACTGCTCCTGGCTTAACTTCTTTCTCAAGCTAGCCTAGACCTGTGATCTGTCCTTTATGTTGTTTTGTAGGAGTGTTCAAATCCCCTCAAACCCCTACCTTCTTTGAATACCAGTCTTTGGTGCTGGATCAATCCTGTGTCCTGGCTCATCTCTCTGTACCTATGTTATTCAGTGCTACCTTAATTAGTACTCCTATGGTAATGTAAGCACTACTTTATAATCAAAAAACCAGCACAACTGTGGATTAATGCTATTACAGATAATGATTTTGGTCATTATCAGAGAGGCTCAGTGCTTCCAAACAGTCAATCAGCCCTTTCCTTTCCATTGCCATCCCAAATACTCAGTCTTTTCGAAGTCTTCTAGAGTCCCTAGTAATATACTTGCCTCTCTCCTCAGGTGGTCTCTGTTGTGCAGTACAATCTTCGGAGAAGCTGGAGGTCATCAGTATTCTCCCTTACATGCACCTTGTCTTCTTTCTCTTTTGTCCCTAATTTAGCATCACTTTCCCTTGTCTGCAGTGTCTTCACCACCTCTCTTCTCTTTATTTTTGGTAATACTGGAATTTGAATTTAGGGTCTGACACTTGCTAGTCTATCACTCGAGCCATGCCCCCACCTCTTTTTTTGCTACAGTTATTTTTCAGATAGGGTTTCATGTCTTTGCCCAGGGTGAGCCACAAGCTGTGATCCTCTACCTATGCTTCCAGTGTAGCTGGGATCACAGGCACATACCATCATGCCAGGCTTATTGGTTGAGGTGGGTCTTGCTAATTTTTTACCCAGATTGACCTTGAACTATGATCTCTGGATTGCCACCTCTCAGGCAGCTGGAATTACAGAAGTGAGCCACAGTGCCTATCCTCTCCTATCTTAAGGAAGGGATAGTTAATCTTTTTCTTTGATCCCTCAGTTTGTACCTCCCAAAAGAATCCTGCTTGGTAAGTTGTATACTTTCTAGTGGATGCCTTTGATTTCTTAGGCCAATAAACGTGCCCATGTTTAACTCTTTTAAAAAACAAAACAAAATAAAAACTCCAGAAGATCTTTGACAACCCCCTGCCACCCCAAGCTAATTATCTTTTGTTGTCCTGTCTCCTTTTGTACTTTTCTTCAAGGGCATATTTTTTGACAAATAGTTTGGTTACTTTAATTTGTTCTGTCTTCTTTGACTGCAATCTATAGAGATGTATATGGAGACCCTTTGTTTTTAGCGTTTTTACTCTGGATTTAGTTTCTGATGCTATTCTATCACATACTAGCTGTGTAATTGTGGTCAGTTACTCAGCCTGTCTGTGCTTCACTTTTATCATCCATATATGATGTTAATAATAGTTTGAAAATTAAAAGAGATTATGTGATAAACCTACAACCATTTCTGGTGTATGACAATACTTTTATCACCATCATCATTCTTTGTTTTGTACCATAGTGTGCTATTTTTGATAGCAAATTATCAGTGAACATAAATTACTCCTTGAAGTTAAATTGAACAGATCTACTTTCAGAACTACTTTACTATACTTATTTTAAAGGAGAAATATAACTCAAAACATACTTGAATCCATCTGAGTTATACTGATCATACAAGTCCTTGAAAAGTTTGTAATTTCTCTTGGTAGCCATAACAGATTCATCCTCAAGACAATATAACTCTGCCTTATACAGCTAGTAAAGAATATTTATGGTACAGGAAAGAAAGCAGGCTTTCTGTAAAAAATGGTGATAGAAACAGTAATCCTTTTGGAAATGACAAGTGCCAACATTCATTGAGCATTTGTTGCTGTTAGACACAATTAATTGCTTCATACTGGTAGCTTATTTGTTCCAGTAAGGACCTGGCTCTGGGGCTAAGCCCCACATTTCTCATTTTTCTGTTATTTGACCTCTTATACTTAGGGGTTTCTGAGATGTGTTAGCCCTGCAAAGCCTCAGGTCCCTCCCTCTATTTTTGCTAATATGCCACAAATTTAAAAGTACACGAGTTTGCGTCTGCCAACTTTTGAGATAATGGTTAACAAAAATATTTTTATGTTTATAAATCTTATATAGCACTTCCAAAGCTATATAAAACAGTTTGTTTAATACAGAAAGGACAAATCATTATGTATCCATAGACTATGTTAAATTGGATCAGTGGATTTTGTTGCTTCAGTTTATCACAAATAGTATAAATTTTTTATTTCTAAAATTACCAGGTTTGCAGATTGAAGCTATTAAAAAATAAACAGATTTTTCTATTAATTGATAGCCAGTCAGCCAGACTAGTATTAGTGGAATAAGAATATGGTAATAAAGCTGGTACACCAAACAGATCCTGTCTGGGGGTTGGTAACAGTGGGAGGGGGAGGATATAAGGAAAGAGAGTAGGAGGATGAATGAAGTGGAAATACTGTGTGCCCATGTATGAAAATGGAAGAATGAGACCTGTTGAAACTATTCCAGGACTGGGGGGGAGATGAGTTCAACTATAATATATTTTAAGAACTTTTTAAAATGTCACAATGTACCCCCAGTACAATAATAATATGATAGTAAAAAATGTAAAAAAAAAAGAAAGAAACCTGTTACCCTTGCTTGAACATTTCATAGAGACTGTCATCATTCTAAGATTCTAAGTGCTGTGTACAGTTTAATTCTTTTAATCTTTATAAAACATCTTATGTGGCAGTTCTGTTATTTACATTTACACATGTAGAAAAGAAGGATCAGATTTTTTTCTGTCCTCATTTTAGTCAGGTTTGCCAGGGTCTGTCAATCTTACTTATTTTTTCAAAGAACCACCTTTTTTGTTTCATTGATTTTTTTTTTTTTTGGTATGGTTTTCCTTTTTTAGTTGTTTCTATTTCACTGATTTCTGTCCTTATTTTAAGTATTTCTCTCCTTCTGCTTGTTTTGGGATTTTCTTGTTCTTGGTTTTCTAGGACTTTGAGCTATAGTATTAGATGATTGACTTGAAATCTTTCTGACCTGTTAATGTATCCACTCATGGCTATAAACTTTCCTCTTAGGTCTGCCTTTGCTGTGTCCCATAGGTTCTGGTAGGTCAGTTTTCATTTTCCTTAACTTCCAGGAACCTTTTAATTTCCTCTTTTATTTCATCAATGACCTGTTATCACTGAGCAATGTGTTGTTTTAGCCTCCAATTGGTTTGCATGTTTTTTACTGCTGTTTTTTGTTGTTGATTTCTAGTTTAATGCATTGTGCTCAGATAGAATACAGGGGATTATTTCTATTTTCTTATATTTGCTGAGGCTTGTTTTGTGCCCTAAGAGATGATCAGTTTTGGAGAAGGTTCCATGAGCTGCTGAGAAGAATGTATATTGTGCAGAGGTTGGATGAAATAGTCTGTAGACATCAGCTAGGTCCATTTGATCTATGGTGTGATTTAGTTCATGATTTCTTAATTGCTTTTTTTTGTTTGGATGACCTATTAGTGATAGGGGGTGTTAAGGTCTCCCACTACCACTGTGTTGGAGTTTATGTTTTTAGGTCCTTCACAATATCTTTGATGAAATTGGGTGCATTGACGTTGGGTGCATATAGGTTGATAATTGTTATTTCCTTTGGTGTATTTCCCCTTTTATTAGTATGGAGTGTCCTTCTTTATCTCATTTGGTCAATGTAAGTTTGAAATCTATCTTGTCCGAGATAAGCATTGCTACTCCTGCCTGTTTTGGAGGGCCATTGGCTTGGTAAATATTCTTCCAGCCTTTCACTCTCAGTCAGTGCTTGTTTCCGTCAATGAGGTGGTCTCCTGTAGGCAGCAGATTGTTGGATCTTTCTTTTTAATCCAGTTTGCCAATCAGTGTCTTTTGATGGGGGAATTAAGTCCGTTATAGTTAGTATTGATAAGTACGTGGTGATCCCTGTCATGTAGTTGTCTTTGTTGTTTAAGAGTTTGGTTGTGTGCAGCTGAATCAATGTTACTCTCTCCTTTCTTCCCTTTTCTTTTCCTGTGGTTTGGTATTGCCTGGCCTTTCGTGGTTTTGTTTGCTTTCGCTTTCTGTGTGCAGAATTCCTTGGAGAATCTTTTATAGTGTTGGCTTAGTGGTCATATATTGTTTTAGTTTCTGCTTATAATGGAAGACTTTTATTGCTCCATCTATTTTGAATGATAGTTTTGCAGGATAGAGTATCCTAGGGCTGAAGTTACTTTCATTTAGGGCCCAGAAGACCTCTCTCCATTCTATTCTTGCTTTTAAGGTTTCCACCGAGAAATCTGCCTGTGATTTTGATGGTTTTATTTGTATGTTATTTGTTTTTTCTCTCTTAGAGTCTTCAATGTTCTTTCTCTAGTCTCTGTGCTTATTGTTTTAATGATAATAAGTTGTGGGGTAGTTCTATTTTGGTCAAGTCTGTTTGGTGTTCTGGAGGCTTCCTGTACCTGAATGGGCATAGTTTTCTCTAGATTTGGGAAATTTTTTGTAATTATTTTGTTGAATATATTACGCATTCCTTTTGCTTGGTTCTCTTCTCCTTCAATACCTATGATTCTCAGGTATGGTCTTTTGATGGAGTCAGTAAGTTCTTGCATATTCCTTTCACAGGACTTGAGTTGTTTGACTAATAGTTCTTTGGTTTTTCCTTTAATTACCATTTCATCTTCAAGTTCTGAGTTCTGTCTTCTGTTTGTTCTATTCTGCTGAAATGGTCTTCCATTTTTCTTTGTATTTCTGTTTCATACTATTTTTTTTAAAGTTTTCCATATTGATCTTTTGCAATAGCATCAGATGCTTTTTTTTTTTTCATTCATATGTGCATACAAGCTTTGGGTCATTTCTCCCCCTGCCCCCACCCCTCCCTTACCACCCAC